TTTTCCTGTCTCGGCCTGTCGGAGTTGCTCCTGATTGATGTGTAAAATTGGACTGTTTTTGCTCCTGTATATTCCTGAGGCGGGAGATCTGAGTGGGTTTCTTTTTCCTCGCCTCCCGAGGCACACAAAATGTTTCATGTACTTGTGGGTTGGAGTCAAATGGAGTACTACACGTGAATGCGCACAATGCCGGTTGCAATAGATTGATCTGCTTCTGTGTTTCCTGTGTGCCATCCGCGTTTTTGCGTGTGTGTGTGTGTGTGTGTGTGTGTGTGTGTGTGTGTGTGTGTGTGTGTGTGTGTGTGTGTGTGTGTGTGTGTGTGTGTTGTCGGAAGCGTAAAGCTTGCTGCCTGTGATGAATTGCCACAGCAGTGGAGACAAATTTGGACGTCGAGGAGCGTTGGTGTCGCGAAGAGATTCGCGCTGCCTCTCTGCTCTGTGTAATGATGAAGAACTGGGCACACATCAGCCAGGGGAGGAATGCAACTGTTGCGAATGAAAAGCACAACAAATGCACACGTACACTTAGAAGCAGGCAGGCGAGGAAGTGGGCCATGATACATCCACCAAATGTGTGCGTGTTTGTAGTCACAGCTCCGTGTGGAGTTTGGGCACAACCACAGCCCACCGCCCCAGGGACCGTCTGCCCTCAATACAGGAGCTTCAGTGGGTTTGCTGCAAAGGGACCATGTACTGTGGAGCTGATTGACAGTTTTTGTAGGTCTGCAGAAACCCCACCGTGGTGCCGCGCGGTACTGTGCGCATGAAAGAAGATGGGAATTTCAGTTTGCAGGCCCCATGGTACACTGTGACTGTAGCGTTTGTAGTTAACGGCTCGTGAAAGAGTCGACAGAGATGAGGAGGAGAGCTTGTAGGCTTCTCACGGAGGAGACGAGCTTCAGAGGTTGATCGCTGCCTGCCATCCCAGTCCTCATTAATACCTTTTGAAATAGACCAACGCTATCTGCGTCTGTTAATATTTAAAATTGATTATCGCTAAAACATCTTCTCAAATGAGGGACTTTTTTTTTTTTCAATTTTTGCACCTTCGTGAAATGCCCTCATTAGGTTGTCAGCATGAAGGGGATAGTGGACCAGCTTTTGCCCCCCCCCCCCAAATTACATTCAATTAAATATAATTAAATATTCTCTTTCCTGGGCTACATGCACATTTTTTTGGCATGGTTAAGATGCCACTGTAGATACAACTATCAATCTAAATACAATGTAAATTTCAATTAGCTTGGTGCAAAGTAAAAATTAACAAATAGATAAAGAGCCCGTGGCCAAACCTTATTGTATAAATGTCTTCTATTGTATTATTGTATTGAACGTTTCTTTCAGCTATCCCACTGTGTACCTCCTCACCCCCCCCATGTTCCTCCAATGTGTATTAATATTCCACCGGGAGCTGTCAGGCCAAATGGAAGGAGTGACAACAACACACCCAAGCTTAATCAGAGCAATGTCCTCCTTCCCTTCACTAAATCAGTGGTGGGAACCAGCAGTCACAGCTTGGCCTCTGTGAAGCTAATGAAGTTTTTCGAGCACATCGTACTCTAACGGATCTTATACACGCTTAAAACCTGTTACCACTCCAGTCAAATTAGCCTAAAAGGCCTATTCAAGGCATACCCAAAGTAAATTGAAAGTTGTTATTGAACCATTTGGAGTACATGCATGGTCAGAATCACTGTAAGTGCTACTGGCATTGAGTAATAGAAGTTTGAACACCCTGAAGTAGAAGGTTTTTATTTCCGCCTGAATATTTCTTTGCAAACAGATGCCTGCAGATGACTATAGCTGGGACTTATTAGCTGGAAAACACAATGGGACCCCAGCATGAAGCCTTACCTAGCCCAAGTTCAGATTTGACAACAATACCACAGAAAATTTACATTTTACACATGTTTTACTAAGGGTATGTCTAGGCACTTTCCGAAAAAGGCCATTTGGAGACCCATCGTAACCATGGTCACATACCTAGGCTGTGTAGAAATGTGTATTCATAATTCAAACTAAAGCTTATTTATGTCTAAATACAGTTATCGATAAGTTATTTCACCATTATTCACTTTCCTAAAGTCTCCATAACTCTCAAAAACTACACATTGCATTTTACGCACGAACGCAGACAGCAGACCCGCAGTTACGCAGGTGACTTACGGGTTGAGGCTGTAAATCTAACCCCTGAAACTGTATATCGTTATTTTCGAAATTTCATTGGCTATACGAAGCGTCAGTCATCAGAACGATCGGTTGCAATTGGCTCGAGCTTCACACGAAAGAAGAGGGGCAGGCACTGTCCTTCAACGTGGACTCTCGTTGGCTATTCTAGGCTGTGGAGAAGACATGGAAGCTCCTAATAGGTCAAGTGAGGTGTCAATCGAAAGGTCAGAGTGCAGCCGCCATTTTGATACCAAGATATTGGCAGTGTTTACATGCCAACTGGAGTTACTACGGAAAACACATAAATAATTAGGCATATCTGTCGGCTAATTTCAAATAATGCAACATCAGTCAGTAGGTATTTATGGACGTAATAATGTGTTTTGGACTAAATATTTTACTGGATTGGATCGTCTGGACCTTTGGCAATGTAACGAGACCGTTTTTGTCTGAATATTGTCGATGGGTGGATTACTATGAGGCTTCATCGGTGAGTTGCCTCAATTTTGTAATTGTTTGTTTGTGGGTGGTGGTCTGACAGAGGCGTTGAGTGTACCTGCTGTTGTGATTGTATCTTGAAATGGTTTGCATAAATCGAATCACAAGAATCTTAGCTTTCCAAAGAGATGTCGCATCAGTGCCTACCTATACATAGCAGTTGTGTACATAACACAGATGTACACTTAACACTCGTGGGCGGGCCGTCGGAGTGTTAACAGGCACAGCACAAAGGGTTTAATTGCATGTGAGCATATGAGATATCTTAATTGATACTTCAGTTTTACTAAATGTGGAGGCAAAGTTGCGATTGTGAATACTGGCCTCAGATTGCATGTCACAGTGAAAGCACTGCCTGAAGTTGGCAGGAGCTTTTGTTCTGTAGAGCAGCACCAGGCATAACGCTCAGTTGGTGACAGCAAGCTAGAAATCCAGAGCAGAAAAGTCGGGGGCCTGGTGCTGAAGGAAATTCACTTTGGAGGTGCCAGATATTAACCGCACCAAGGGTGCACATGGTGTCAGCAAGTGTCAGAATATTGCTGACATTGTATGTATAGTTCATGTTTCATCTGCTTCTCTTTTGCAGGTGTTGGCTCAATTCAGTTATCGTTCCTTTTTTTCAGTACAAACCGTTACAATATTAATAATAATCGAGAATTGGAAAAAGGCTAATACAAACTGACTTACAGTCAGGAAAACATTCATATTTTTTTAAATATTAATAATTTCAGTGTCATTTAATTTTAATGTTTTTAATACAATAACAAGATCACTAACTTTATTTGTGATTTAAATGGGGTTGAATGTCCGAAAGAACCGTAAGAACTGAAGACAATAAGATCAGACCATTCTATTTCTTTCTTTTTTAACATCTTACACTACAGCACTTTTTTCTTGTATTTGTTTAAATAAGCTGGTATAAAGGACACGAAAGTAAACCACACAATCAGACTGATAGACAATATGAGCTTTTAATGTCAGTATGTATAGTTGTTTTCCTTACAGATCTGGAGAAATTTGATTAACGATGGTTAAAGCCTGATCTCTCTCAAAGCCATATTTACTATGTAATGAGATATGATATTAGAACGATTATGATATGATTGTATACAAACAAAACACATAAACACTGTGCTCCACCCCCCCATTTTTTTTGTGTTACGTTTGTGTGACATCCACTTGTTAACCTCTCAGTAGCACATTTAGCACTTTGAAGCTGTAGTTAACAGGAGGCGAAGCACAGGTGATTACAGTGATTGGAATGTGATTTGTTTGTTGCTCCAGCTGAACAATGTATGCTCTGATGAGCGTCCTTTAGACCGAAAGCTACAAATATGGTGTTCTCTGCATAGATTTAAGTGTGCGGGTATCTATTCTACCAGTGTCAGTAGTGGAAACGTAAGGTTTGGTGGCGAACAGCCCTTCACATGTGCATGGAGGTTGACAAAGACTTCAAACGTTACACAGAAGCAGCATTGAAAAGAACCCCCCCCCACACACACACACTCGCAACTGCAGCATCACTTTTTATTGACAGGGTGTGTTCTCCCTCAGCATTCCCATATACCTGCGATCCTTTTTCCTTCCCTTCCACTGGAGGCTGTTTTTTTTACTGCAAATCACAAGCCGGGTCCATCATTATGCCTCAGGTGTCAGGCCCAGGTTTTCAGCCGCACCAACACAGGGCGTGATTTAAATGTCATATCTTCAAAGCTTTTCCCCTTTCTACAATATATCTGCAGTCTGCTGGTTTCCCCGGCTGCAACAAAGCAAAGGCTTGATATTTTGTGTTGAGAGCTTTGGACAGTAAAGATGTTGACAGGTGCGAGTGTTTCATTCCAGCTTGACAGGCCACCGTACGTCCCTGTATATGGGACTCCTGTGCTGCAGTAGTTAACCCCTGAATGCTTCCTAGTAGCGCACGAAATAAGGAACGCGTAATTCCACATCTTTTGTTGCACGTCAACATTAATTATTATCATCAGATGGATGGTTTGTGTGTGTGCTGGAACGCAGCGTATGAGATTGACAGACAGACGGCGTCAACAAGCCAGGTAGTTAATGGTAAATGGACTTTTCTAGTCTTCTGACCACTCAAAGCGCTTCAACGCTACATGCCATTCACCCATTCACTCACTGATGGCTACCACGCAAAGGTGCCACCTGAACTCAAAAATAAACTAATGGAGGTCAAAGGTCAAGGTCACCGACATTGATGTGGACTGCAAACATGACTGGCGTAGAGCAGCGAGGCAGGGCTTGTATTTATTTTTTATTTATCTCTCCTCTGTCTTCCAACACCCCCTCATTCTTTTTCTTCTTGGGTTTCACAGAAAACGATGAGACAGGTGTGATGGATAGTTTGCTGGAAGCTCTGCAGTCAGGAGCTGCATTCAGAGACCGCAGGAAGAGAGCGCCGAGACCCAGAGGTGAGTCTCATATCCTTTATCGACACCTTCACGCAAACAAAGACGCATGCGTAAAAAACCTGCTACCCATATTGTACTTGTGGGCAATGTTCTGATTCCAGTCAGATGTTCAGAAATCACAGTGAGTTTAGGTCCTAACTAAAAGCTGAGGGAATTGAATACATCCTTGTGTTATCCTGCCTTGGCTCCACACATTCTCAGTCCCTTGCAAAATACACTAGTTTGTTGTTTGTACACATGCTTGCTAGGAGCACCAATGCCAGAGAATCACTGTCTGATGTTTGGAGCTCAGTGAATCAACACCCAGCTATTTATTTTCTGGCAGTCTTAAATCCCATATGCTCTTGAATCCAAGTCGGGTTCTGTACATGTTTTGAACAGACGGTCCATTAGACTTTAGGGGGCAATTGACAGAGTTGCCCTTAAACACGGTATTTTCTGTTAATGGCCTTCTCTTCACAGCCGTTCTTCAGCTTGCGAATGCCTCCTTGTGATCTTTGTGATCCCTCTTAGTACGGTAAGATATGTTGGCATTAAATGTCCCCTGCCCTCCACAGATAACCAGCAGAAGACCATCAGCCCCAGCTCCTTCCGCCAGGTTCTCAGGCCTGTTAACCATGGTAAAGCAAGCATGCTCAGCTCTGTCTTTTATCTGCTCTCGGAAGGCCGTCATAAACAACTCTTGCATGTATTGCAGCTTCGCCTCGACATTTCGTATGTCCTGCTTTTGTGTGTGTGTCCAGTGACCATTTCAGTTGTCCTTTTTTTTCCCCGTTTGTTTTTATTTGACCTTGTGTGCTTTCTGAAAGTGTGAAAGACCTTCTCTGAGGCAGTGCGTTGTGCAGACTGTGAGAGAAGCATGATTGAGAGCAGCCCACACATTGCTTTCAAAGAATTTCAGTTTGACAAGGTTCCTAAATTGTTCAGTAACTGCAGCACTTTAAGTTCAGCTCTATGCTTCTGAAGGCAAATCTTTCCCATTTTTAAAACTTTATATATAGGAAGCTACAGATGTCTATTCACAACAGTATAAGTCAAGTGTCCTCGAGTCAAAATGAGTATCTTGAGTTTCTCACCTCTGACCTATGTACTGCAGATTTTTTATGAAGGGCCGTGAGGCATCTGCACCAAGATCAAACATACGTACGGACTACAAATTAGATGCAAGCCACTTGTAGCTTTGAGTGTTCAGTGTTATCATTTAGAAACGCCATGTTCATAATTTAAAATATACAGGGCAATATGTGTCTAACTGAATGACTTCCTGGGAGTGAAGATTGGATGGGATACTAATTATACCGAATCAAATTTGCCCCATATCATTCATAGCTGGGAACAGATATTGTGCTTTGGCTGTTGCAAAAACAAACAGCAGCTTTCTTCTCTTGTCAAAGGGTTACTACAATCATCACTGAGGCACTTAAAAAATTACGCCGTAACCCTGTTACCACTTATTACTTGTAATTGGAATCCCAGCGGGCTGGGTACAGGCACGCATGAATAAAATGATTCACGCTCAGTCCACCCACAACATTGATGGCAATGATAAAGGGCCCTGCTCTGTTGTTCTGCTACGACTTATCTGAAATTAGATTGGAAGGGGACGAGGGGGAGGGAGGTATACAGGATGGGAGGAAAGAGACAGATGGAGGTGGCTGTAACATAAGAAATGGAGAGAGATGGTGTGAGGAGGTATGAAAGAGCCAGTTGGTTCGGGTGAAACTAAGGAATAATGTGAGGGCATTGGACTCAGTTTGTCTGTGTTCAAGAAAGAAAATAGTCTGTGCATATAAGGGATGCTATTTTAACAGGGGATTATTGTAAAAAATTAGCGTCCATGCTGCTCAGTGTCCGTGTTGAGCAAACGACCCCATGGTGTGCTGTACAGGTACTCGGGTTGTAGACGGTTGCTGGGCCAGCTGCCCCCTGCTGGCAGCTTCAGACACGGCCTTGTTGACTAATAAAGCTCAAGGCTCGAGCCTGTCACTGCAGGCGTCATACTCACTGCCAGCCTCCCAGAGCAAACACAGCTAATTACTTTTCTCTGCCCAGCCCCAGCACCAGCTCAGCCCTCTCAGTGCCCGTTCATCTTAATTTCCCCCTCTCTGCCATCTGCCTCCTAAATAACACTCCTCCTCATTTCCCTACCATCCCATATCCCCACTGTCTCCCTCTATACTCTCATGGCCTGACAATGGCCCTCCCCAAACATAATTGCCTGTTATTGGTATGGAGTCTCTCAGCTTCTCCCGTTGCATCCCTTCTCTCCCACCTCCTTCTCTCCTACGGAGATCCGGGCCTTAATTGTCCTGGGTTTAGTCGCTGGAGTGGGTGAAGCCCACCGGATGCTCCCCGTTTAGTTCGGAGGTGATGAAGTTCAGTCGGCGGCACGTGTGTGTGTGTGTGTGTGTGTGTGTAAACAGCTGCTTTCACTTTCACCCAAACACCCAACCGCCTCCTTTCCCCACAGTTTTAAATACCCTTCAATAATTGATCTCAGGGGTGTTGCTACACTCCGGTGGAGCCGCGAAGAGAATTAAAACGGAACGATCTGTGCCAGAAGATACTGTTATTTGTGGTGATGGGGAGAGATCGGAATGGTCCGTCCGGACATGCGTGGTGCCATTAAGCTCTCACACCAAGGGAGACTCGAGTGCACCGGGGGTTTTCCTGCACTGGTGTGGTTGTTGTCCGCAGAAACAAATCAGATGGCCAATAGATTGTGCTCCCCATCACATGGAGTAGTTCAATTATGTCCGGAGTGCTTCGCAGTTCGGCGAGTGTGATTGCCACACACTGGAGAATCTCATTGAAAGTATTACTCCACTGTTTGCTGCAGAACCAGGGGCGCGCATCGTCCCCTCCCTTATTTCCCCCCCCCCCCTCTTCTTCCTTCTCATTCTCTTCCTGTTCTACTCTTCGGTTTACTGCTGGTAATAAATGATAAATGCAAGGGTCCTGGCCCGGGTTCCCAGCATTTGTCCCGACTTCCTCCGTCTCTCATCTCCTCTCCTCCCTTACCTTTAAATTGCCTCAGCGCACTTTAACATGAGCCAGCAGCTACGGTGTTTAGCTCGCTCTGCAGTCTCTCACACACACACACACAGACACACGTACACATAAAAATACACAGACACACCCGCAGACTTCAGGGGATCGAGGTAAGCAGGCTTTGCGGTGGCTGTGGCCTGGGTTAGGATAAGGCTGCAGGGCTCTGGGGCTCCTAGACACTCTAAATTGGATTGCGCTCCACAGAATGATGGATCGATGGTGGTTAGCCACACAGGTGTAAGAGACTTGAATCTGCAAATTGAATCTATAAGGCAGCCGTAGCTTTCTTAACTTTGTCCTTTTGAAAACATCTCTCCGGGTACTGTCTGGTCATTTCAGTCTTCTAAGCGAGCCCTCATCACACGTTGAGGGGAATCACATAACTACACTTGTTGTTATTTTTTACGGTTGTGTTTGACAGAGAGCGAGAGCCTCAAAGTTTGTGACGCAGCACAAGCCAGATTTTGAGTGTGTGTGCGTGCTCTGAGGCCTTTCTCGTGGAGTGATGATCCGTTACGTGTGGGGAGGAACAAGATCTATGAGGGAATAAATGTCTCTGTCTTTAGGAGCAATTACTTCAGAATGTCTTTAGTGAAACCCGACCTAACAATTATCATGTGTGATAAAGCTCTGAACTAGAGCTTGAAATTGATATAAAGGTCACTTCACAAAGTCGGTGAACCCGTATACCGAATGGAAACATGAGTAGTGTCTCCTTACTTGCACTTGAAAGCATTACGGGTTAGACCATAACAGTATGCATCTAGTTATTGGAGGTGTTGCATGCTATGTGTTTCCATGTAACTCCATGACCTGTTTTTGCTGATTACATGTTTCTGTATGATGTTGGATCTTTGGTTCGTACGGGCAGCTATTCAGTTAAGACTTTAAATAGTTTGGATATATACGTGTGGATGCTAGTAGGAGTTGACAAATAGGCTTAATTTGACACTCGACCCACGATCTCTTTCAGAAGTTGTGCTGCACAAAATCATTGAGACGAAACTGGGGAGAGTGTGAAGTTGAAGTGAAAGTAGAAAGTAAAAGGAAGTTTGTCGCCTCCTATCTCTGTGCGTTCTGTGTGCTCACACGTGAGACGTTTGTGACAAACTAGCTCCGAGAGTCAGTCACTCTTGCTTCCTGGGGCTGGGGATACTCTAGTGGAATCTGCTGTTAGATGCTTGCCTTCTTTTTTGATTGGGCCTCTTATAGACTGTGATATGTGGATTCCACTGCAGGCAACTGCGTCCTGCAGATTGCGTGTGTGCTTTCCCATTCCTCTTTCCCATTTCTGTCTGTTCGTGTCAATGTCAATTATGGGAGAAAGCCTGCCATCCTTCCAAAGTTCGCTCAGTCGACTCTTTACTTTTTGACTTTGTTTTGTCTCCGCTTTATCTCTCCCCCTCGCCTTGCTGCTTTCCCCCTGACATGACATAAGCAAAAAAAAAAAAAAAAAAGAAGGGGTTATTAAATCATTTCAGTGAACCCAAGACAGAAGGGAGCGCACAGACGCTCTCCTCCCAAGATCTATTTGAATTGATGCTGCACGTCGTCGTTTCAAAAACGTAACTGTAGAAGTTGCTTGATTTATCTGCATTTGGTCACAATATATCATCCACATCACGTACGTTGGCTGCGTTTTTCATTAAAGTGACACATTATTGCCAAAGAGCTTCTGTTCCTGAACACCGAGTGCTCACTCTCCCACTTTCGCACATACTCGCTCATGCATACATGCATCGAAATTGTCGGCTTAAACCCTGTTTTTTAATGATGTGCGGGTTGAAGGTGAAAGGCCACTCCTGGGTCGGGGCATCAGCTGTGTGGAAGACTTGGACAGGTGTACTGCTCTCCGTATTCATGCCATAATCATCTGGCCACTTGGAGGCACAGTGTCTCTCTTACCGCCACACTAGATTGGTGGTTTCGATGTTTAACGGCTCTTGTAGACAAAGGCGTGTCCAGATGGGAAAGTGTACCTTGACCTGCCTTTGTCTGTCTGTCTGAAGTGCTGCACTCGGTGTGTGCGTGTGTGTGCGTGTGTGTGCGTGTGTGTGCGTGTGTGTGCGTGCGCATGTTTGAGCCTGTGCACACATGCATTGAACAGATGGAACAAGAGGTCACCTTAACAGAGTGGCTCGTGTAATTAGGTCCAACATGTGCAGTGAGACTTAGTAAGTGAGGGCTGTAGAGAACAGTAAAGGAAAGATTTTATTTTTTCCTACCTTTTTATTCAAGATTTGCTGAGAACAATGTTCTCTTTTCATTGAATGCCATGCTGCACTCTTTCACAGTTACACTCAGTCACACGTGGAAACTGCCCAGTACAAAACAGTCAGATCTGTTGACCACTTAGCAGCTTTTCTCAAGTAGTTGGATAGTAATCGTCCCATATCTTGTTCTGCTGTTCTGGTGATTGAAACAGCGACTTCTCTAACCTTTAGCCTGGAAGCAGCGCCGAGTACCCTTTTATGTGTGTAATACAGGCAGTAATTAGCATGAAATATGTTTCTCACTGCAAACGTTTGGTTATAGATTGCTGTTTACTTGTTCTGTTGCCTTGGAGGCG